AATGAATGAATGAATGAATGAATGAATGAATGAATGAATGAATGAATGAGTAAATAAATAAATAAATAAGGGCTCAGTGGTTAAAAGCACTTGTTCTAGCAGAGAATCTGGGTTCAGTTCCCAGTGCCCATGTGGTGGCTCACAAGCATTCTAACTCCAGTTCCAGGGGGTCTGATGCCCCCCACGGGTCTCAGACACCCACATGATATGTGCAGGCAGAATACTCATACACAAATAAAAATAAATAGATCTAAAATGTTTTAATTAAAAATACATAAAAGTAAAATATGTGTATATAAGTATATATGCATTTATAAAAACACATTTAAATCTAAATTTTCCCAAAATGAAGGGGCAGAGGAACATCTTGTTTCAGGAAAGGGCAGAGAATTGTCCCCAGCGGCCCCTGTCCTCGCTGCAGAGCTGAGGGTGGAGCACAGAGAAGGAAGAGTGACCAGGCTGTCCTGGCTCTCCTCTCCCTCGCACGCAGACCCGGGGTGGACAGCCTGCAGAACTTGACTGGACTTGGGAAGGTCTGCTGTCTGTCTCCTCAGGATGCCTCCTTACCCTGTCTCCTTCCTCTCTCCTGTGTCTCTCCAGGCCTGTCAGCTTCCCAGAAACACCTTTCACGGCATCACCAGCAGGGGCCGACAGAGTTCCTCCCTACCGACAGCCTTCTGGGAGCTTCTCCACCCCAGGCTCTGCCACCTACGCAAGATACAAGCCGTCTCCCGAAAGGTCAGAGTCTCCCTTGCTTTTGAAATGATGTCATCTGGTGCCTGCTGCTGCAGGGTTTTATTCCCAGGAAAGGCACCTCACTATCTTATTCGCCGTGTTCTGGGCCTTATGGACCCCTAAAGGTCAGAAAATGACCACCAGGGCTTTGGCAATGTCTCATTCAAATTAGAACAAAGAAATAGAAGAGCAAAAAATCGAGCCAAGCTGCTCTGGCAGAACTTGTCTGTACTAGCAGAAGGATGTGGTTATATATCCCATCACTTTGTTTGTTTGTTTGTTTGTTTGTTTCTACCCAGCATCCCATTCCTCTCTCTCTAGTTCTCAACCACCAAAACCAGGCCGTCAACATTATGCAGGTCACAGGGTCTTTCCAACTCTATCCCTCGCCCTTAGAGACAGTTTCCAGCCCAGAAGCATGAGCAGTCTTTCCTAAATTTCCATGGACCTCTGGTGCCTTCACTACAAACCCAAACTGGACAGTACAGCATTCAGGGCCCCACGAGAGCTCATTCCGGCTTGTTCCCGGCTGTCCTCCTCCTGGGTCCCTCTGTCGTCAGCAGGCCCACCTCATCCCTGTCCTCCAGGCCGAGCTGCGAGCCTCATTCTGAATGCCTCCTTCCCCTCTCCCGCTGCTGCAGTCAGTGTGCTCGTCCTCCCAGACCCTGTTACCCACACCTCCTCTCCCAGAATTCCCAACACCCTCGGAACACATCCTCTGCCCCTCACGAGTGACTAAGGCTCCTGGAACCTGGCAGTTCCTGTGAGTGCCACACACCAGCCCCACTGGCCACCGCCTTGGAGGTTTCTAGGCAGCCTTCTAAGCTGAGCTGTGCTCTACCTAGAAACCCACCCCAAGGAAGGAAGAGACCAGCTCTACCCCTCAGCTCCCTGTGTTCCCCTGACCTGCCTGTGAGCAACCTCTATTCCCCTAGCCCAGTTAAAAGACCAAAAAAAAAAAAAAAAAAAAAAAAAAAAAGACAGAAGACAACACAGAAAAGCAGACAGAGAAAGGCCAGCCACAGGGGCATGCCACATACGACAGAGAGGCCAGACATTTGGGCATAGCATGTGCGTGAGTGAAGAGGGCATCAGTTTGCTCCAAGATACTGAAATTGCCAGTCTGTCTGTTCCATGTCTCCATCACTGAGGACTGGGGCCTACACATGGCGAATTCTTGGTCTACAGTGATGACAGGAAGGAGCAAAACCTTGTTTGAAGCAAAACTTCTTGCCTTAGCCCAGGGACCAGTTCACCAAACCTGAGGTTCTCATCCAAAGAGGACTGATCCTTACCCTGAGTTTCTGTTCAGGGAGGCCTCTGGGAGCCCTGCTTTGCACCTTGTTGGATACTGAGCCTCTGTTAGAGAGTCAAGGGGAAAAAACCCACTGTTTGATCTTGGAGAGGCCACTGTGCAGCCCTCACTCCGCCCAGGCTCCCAGAGTTTCCTGTGTCAAGCACTGGGAGGCATGTCCGGCCTGCTCAGTTGCCACGGCTCCTGTTGCCCTCCCTTGCATGTGCTAGAGAGATATCCCACAAACCACATGCTCCACATGGCTGAGGAGCACATCAGCAGAAGAGGAGGAACACAGCCCCACCCAGGAGGTCTGTGCCAGGAATGGTGGCATTCGAGTAAAGCCGGGAGCATTGGTGGAAGTTTGCCACAGAGAGGAAGGAGCATGAATGAGCAAAACGGCAGGATGAAGGAGAGGCAAGGAAGATTCTGGACTGTGTAGCTGGCTGGGCCTCAGTAAGGACCAAAACCTTAAATGGCAGCCACTGGCTGGTAACGACAGAGGTGATAGGGCTAGGCCTGGTGTCACAGGCCAGCAGTCCCAGTCACTCTACACTTCAAGGAAGAAAGAAGAAAAAAACTAAAAGAGGCAAAAGTCCACCCCTAATCTAGGATACAGAGTGAGGCCAGCCCGTACTGAGACCACGTCTCAGGCTGGACGGTGGCTCGGCAGTTAAGGCACTTGGCTGCCACTGAAGAGGACACAGGCTCAGTTCCCAGCACTCTCATGGCAGCTCACAACTGTCAGTAACTCCAGTTCCAGGGACGAGGCACATACATGATTGATACAAGCGTATGCCTGCAGGCAAACACTCTTAAAATTTAAGTTTGTTTTTGTTTTTCTTTTGTGTTTTGTTTTGTCTTAAGTAGGTGCAGTTCATTGATAAAGTGAGTTAACCATCTACCCAAATAAAGATTCTTGGGGAGTTTCTGGGTCTGGGCCATTATAAATATTCAGGCTGTGGACACGTAACATATATGTTCAAGCATACACGTTTCCGCATGGAAACAAGTTTCCCTCAGTCTGGGATGAGTGCCCAGTACAGTTGCGTTCCATGTGCTGAGCCCGTTCCTCACTCGCACCAGCAGCAGCCGTGCCATCCAGCTTCTCCACAGCCCGGTGCCATGGGGCGCTGTCAACCATTTTCGCTTTAGCTCCTCTGATGGGTTCCCGGTGCTGTCTCAGTGTCGTTCCAATTTGCATTGCTCTGAGGACCAGCAGTGCTGAGCATCTTGTGTGCTGAGCCGCCAGCTCCCTATCCTCTCCAGTGAAATGTCTGTCTGCCCGGTTTCCAGTTCCCTCGCTGCTTTGCGCTGCTCGAGAGCTCTTTGTATGATCAGCCTCCGTTTCTCTTTCATCGTCTTCATAGGGCCTTTCTCAAAACAGACGGCTTTCTGATGCCATCCTTTCTCCTAACAGGATTCAGACGTTTCACTGTGGGGCATGTTAAGCCTTGATTCCCTCCCCCTCCCCTTCACAGTGGAGCCTGAGCCAAAACATGTAATGTGTAATGCTGCGCAACCGTCGTAACCCCAGCTCCCGGGGTCCCCCACCCTCTTCTGGCTTCCATAAGCAATGAACTCGGGTGGATTTCGTACATACACACAGCAAAACACTTCTGTGCATAAGCATAAGATGAATAATAACTCTTGAGGGCCAGAGACCTGGCTCGGTAGTTAAGAGCAGTGTCTCCTCCTGCAGAGGACCCCGGTTGATGAGCTGCTCACCTGCTGGCCACAGCCTTCTGTAACTCCAGGTCCACGGAACCTGCTGCCGTCTTCTGACCTCCTCGGGCACCAGGCACATGTAGTGTTCATATATACACACAGGCAGAGCAGTCATGCACATAAAATAAATACAAATTAAAGAACAGTTATATATACGTATATATTCCCCTTTTTTTTTTTTTTTTTTTTTTAAGAATAAAAGAGCGTGCCATGTGCAGTGGCACACACCTGTAATCTCAGCACTCCCGAGACTGATTCAGGAGGATCAGGAGTTCAAGGCCAACTTAGACTACATAGTGAGACCCAGTCTCAAAATAAAACCATCATTGTGTAATTAGGTCTCAGACCCCACAGTGAGCTTCTGGCAAAGTCACATAACACCTAAAACTGTCCTTTTGGCTGTTTGTTTTTTCTTCAAGACAGGTCTCTCTGTGTAGCCTTGGCTGTCCTAGACTCACTTTGTAGACCAGGCTGGCCTCTGCCTCCCAGAGTACTGGGATTACAGGCAAGGGCCACTGTGTGCAACTACTTTTTTTTTTTTTTTTTAAGATTTATTTATTATCTATACGACATTCTGCCTGCACACCAGATCTTACTATAGATGGCTATGAGTCACCATGTGGTTGCTGGGAATTGAACTCAGGACCTCTGGAGGAGCAGGCAGTGCTCTCATCCGCTGAGCCATCTCTCTAGTCCTCCCCTGCCCCCTTTTGAGACAGGGTTTCTCTGTGTAGCCTTGGCTGTCCTGGACCCGCTTTGTAGACCAGGCTGGACAGATATCCTCCTGTTCTGCCCCTGCCCCAGCCTCCTCGAGTGCTGGGATTGCAGGTGTGCACCAGCCTGCCCTGCCAGAACTTTTTTAAGCCATCAGCACTGTTGTAAGTCATGTGACAGAGGGACGGCCACTACTGCAGCATCTTGGCTCTACCAACAGACAGAGAGGGTGATGGGTGGGGGTGACAGCTGGCAATGGCTGTGTCACCCATTGTCCCTTCTTCCCCCACCCCATAATCATCCATCCACTCTCCCATGAGTGAAGGCAGGAGAGAGGCCCATGGGCCATGCTTTCCACGTGTGTGCTGCGCCTGTCCATGTTCCTCTCTGCCCTGGTTCTTTCCTCTGTGATGGGCAGAGGGCTCAAGCCAGCCTCCCAGTAACGTGGTCCTGCTGAGATTTTGCTACCTTCCTCAGCCTCCTCAGAGATTACCTAGCCTCCGCCTTACAGCCCCAGACACAGCTTCTCACCCCCCGTCAGAACCTCAAACCCTTCATCCGCAAAGTGAGTTTTATTTTTCAAGAAAACGTAGAGTAATTACTGCATCTCTGACGAGATGGAAGACAGCCATTCGGCCCACTCTTCTTCCGGAGACGTGTGTCCAGAGCTCTGCATCTATGGCAAGACAAAGGGCCGTCTTCAGCTCAGCGAGGTTGACCAAAATCTCCAAGTGTTAAAAATGGCCCCCTATGGGACATCCCGCCTTCCTAAGACTGGTCAGCACAAATTAAACAGCAGAAAAGAGAGATCAGAAGTCCCGTTCAGAAAGACAGCTGCTGGGGAGAGGGCTCAGTCAGTAAGGCCTGCCGCACAGAAGCAGGAGACCTGAGCTCAGTCCCTTGGCCCTCACGCCAGTACTCCAGCCGCCCAGCCATCAGCCGTCTATAGCCTCAGGGCTGGGGAGGCGGGGCAGGCTGACTCAGATCTCACCTGGCCAGCCAGCCCAGCTAATTGGCAAGCCCCAGTACAGAAAGACTTAGATACGGTAAAAGATGGCAGAGGAAAGCACCTGGCAGTGCATACATGTGCTACACATTTACCTGTGTGTGTGTGCACACACACACACACACACACACACACACACACACATGAATATGGTCCCTGTTGTGATTCTAGTATCAGGGAGACACAGGTAAAACCCCTGCGGGCTGTCTGGTCTAGCCTAGCCTAATTGGTTAACCCCAGGCCCCAGTGAGAGACCCTGTCTCAGAAACCCAGGTGGCTGACTCCTAAAGGACAACGTAAGCTTAGCACCTACATGCACACTCAGCGAAGGTGCCCGCCGTGTGGCTCACTGGGCAGCAAGCTTGTGTGAGCTTGTGCAAGCAAGCAGCCGTGGTGGCACTGCGCCCGTAAGCCCAGCATTCCGGGGGTGGAGGCAAGGAGGTCTGACGTTCAGGATCATCTTGGGCTAGGTGGTGAGTTGGAGGCTAGTCTGAGATGAGCGAGAGCTTGTCTCAAAGCAGCTGTGAGCTGGCTGGATACAACTGGGAGGGGTCGCTGAGAGAGCAGGGCAGCCCGGGACACGGCCAGGTGTGGATCTAGCTTCGGAACTCAGAAACAGGCCCCGCAGTCTCTCTCCTCCCACACTGGCGGAGACCCTGCTCTTCATTTTGGATTTGGATATCTTTTAATCTTTTACACTTTTGATTATTAGTCTGTGTGCGTGTGTGTATTTGCGGGTGCACACATTCCAAGCACAAGTGTGGAGGTCAGAGGGCAACTTAAAGTGAGTCCTGGGGATCCAGCTGGAGTAGCCAGGCTCGGAGGCACGTGTGGGCCTTTACCCACTGAGCCATCTTGCCTCCCGGGTTTGGTTTTGTGCTCCCCTGGCTCGTCCTAGCTGCTCTTGCCTTCCTCCAGTGCTCAGGATCTCACCCTGACCTTGTGGGAAACTGAAGAGTCAGCATGTTTCCCAAAGCAACTTGTTGTGTGTGAGGGCAGCCAGCGAGGTCAAGGTTGGTTGGAATCAGGGCTGCTTTGGTACAGTCCCTTAAACCGCCACACACTGAGCCCTCAGACAAATGTAGAAGGAAGAATGGACTCCTTTTGGTGGTTGTTTTGTCTTGTTTTTTCAAGATAGGGCTTCTCTGTGTAGCCTTGGCTGTCCTGAACTGGGTTGGCCTATAGACCAGGCTGGCCTTGAACTCACAGAGGTCCAACTGACTCTGCCTCCCCGAGTGCTTAAATTGGGCAGTGGTGGTGCACACCTTTAATCCCAGTACTCAGGAAGGCAGAGGCAGGCGGATCTCCGTGAGTTCAAGGCCAGCCTGGTCTACATAGAGAAACTTTGTCTTAATACCCCTCATCCCCCCCGCCCCCACCACCAAAAAAAAAAAAAAGGACGGAGGGATGGAGTCACGGAGCCTCTAATGCTGTATCTGGCCCTTCCTTTGGGAGAGCTTATGGGCCGTGGTTGAAGGAAGGAGGATAGTTTGTCTCTTCTTGACAGGGCGTGGAGTTGAGTTTCCAGAAAGCCCAGTGTCTTGTCAGGAGATACTTGGCGGTTAGAACAGGGTCTTCACAGACATGGCCCTGAACGTGTTGCCGGGCTGGCAGGGACTCCACAGACGTCGCCTAGCTCCTCTGTTGAGAGTCAAGGGTTGTAGCTTATCTCTCACTCCTGCCACCCCATCCTGAGGTGAAGGCCACAGGCTGAGCACTCCCCCATTGTCCAAGACCTTGGTCTGGTCACTTGACCAGAGCCAGCAAAAGTGGACCCAAAAGCCCCAGGAGTGTGTTCTATATGGCAGAGACAACCCAGAAAGGGTGGGCTCAGAGAGCACTCATCATGTGGTCCAGCTCAGCCTCCTCACTCCGCAGTCCCCTCAGCAATGGCCTCAGCTTCAGGCTGATGGCAGGCAGGCAGGCGCTATTCATGGTGCTATCAGCAGCCCAAGCCAGACTGGAGGAATGAGGGCCTCCGTGTTAGTGCTTTCTGTAACTGTGCAAAGACAGCATTGCCAAGGCAACTTATAAAAGAAAGAGTTTATTTGGCTTACGATTCCAGAGGTTTGAAGGCCATGGTGGCACAGTAGAGGCAGCGGGTGACAGAAACCGCCAGTAGAACAGCAGAGGAAGGCTCATGTCTTGAACTTCAAGCAGCAAACTCAGGATAGCTGTAGCCCTCATACTTTCAAAGCCCACCTGTGGTTATACTTCCTCCAGCAAGGCCACGCTTCCTAAGCCTTACCCAAACAGCCCCACCAACTGGGGACCAAGTATTCAAATAATCTGAGACCAAGAGGGACATCTCAGTGAAACCAGCACTGTGTGTGTGTGTCGCGTCCATGTGCACATGCCCCATGGCACACAGGTGGAGGTCAAAGGGCAGCTTGCAGGATTTGGTTCTCTCCTCCTACTATCTGGATCCCAGGGACTGGACTCGGCTCATCAGACATGGCAGCAAGTGCCATTACCCCCAGAGGCCATCTTTTCTTACCTCTTAGCAGCGAGGTGGTGGCGATGTTTGCCAGGGGCCCCGGGGTCTGGTCCTCCCACTTCAGTCAGGTTGTGCTGGCAAATCTCTGAAACTCATGTTAGCAAAGGTTTATTTGGGGTCTGAGGGTATAAAGTGCAAAATCTCAAGACTGTGCTTGAGAGTGTCAGCACAGCCCTCCCTCCAAAACCTAATAGGATAAAAAAGGGTTGGAGATGTGGCTCAGTTGACAGAATTCTCGCCCAGCATGCATAAAGCCCAGATTCCTGAAATGGGCACTCACCTGTGATCCAGCCCACACTGGCTAGAGGCAGGAGGATCTGGAGTTCCTCAGCTATGCAGTAACTTCAAGGCTAACCTGGGCTACACGAAGCCCTGTCCCCAAAATAACGAGCTTCCTTACCTGCTCCCATGTTGCCCCGTTGGTTAGCAGAGGATCCAGATTGTCCTAGCAGCTGTTCTTCACCCCCAGCCCTGTCCCTTCCTCTCCAGCTCACTGGTGACAACAGGTCACAACCATCAAGCCTGTCACGGGGCCCAGGAAACCTGGCCCACTACATGGTGGAAGGGGAAAGCCACAGATACCGTATAGAAGTGTTGATAATCCTGTACCCCCTCCCCTTTAGCCAAAATTGTGCCATGTGCCTGTCCCTGAGCAGCCCCAGATAGAAAAGGCCGTGCCTCGAGTGGCTTGCCTGAAGCGGAGGGGCATGGGGCAGCGAGGGGTCTTCCCTGCTCTGGAGGGAATGGGGCTGGGGGACGGAGCTAATGGCTGCGGCAGACTGAAGCCTCATGTAGTAACCGTCTCTTCAGAGCATCAGTTAGTTAACGCTCTGAAGGTTAAGAAGTAAACCACAAGGTCAAGCGCGGCGCATGGCAAAAGCATGTGCTTCCAGGGAGGCGTGTAGACAGCTGTGCTGCACAGCCTGATGTACACTCACTCCTGGCCTCTTCCCTGGCTGGGCATGAATGCACAGCTCAAGAACAACTCCCTGCTTTTGAAGAAACTGAGGACACAAGACTCTTGTTTTCTGGAAGTTTTCTCACAAGCACTCAGGATTTCCCTCGCTCCGTTCCTGGACCATGTTCTGACAGGGTAACACAGTTACCTTGCTTTTGTGTCACAGTGACCCAAGCACCTGGCAAAAAAACAGAAGTGACTTACAGTTTCAGGAGGAGTGGAGCCATAGCTGCTTGGCCCTGTGTGTTCGTAGGAGTGTGTGGAAGAAGATAACTGTCCCTGTCACCGCAGGCCAGGAAACAGTGGCAGGAAGTGGCCAAGGACAAAGCTCCTGTAACCTCCCAAAGGAGCACCACCAGCGGGGGAGCACGCTTCTAAACATGGACTTGGGGTGCAGAGGGGCATGCTTTCAAGGTTCAAGCCCAAACAAGAGCTAACCTGCAGGAGCCCCCCGAGAGGGAACTCCCAGCTTCCACCACCACTCCCCTTGGATTCCGTTCCTGGCCTGTGGTGTGCAGGCTGTCTGAGGGCATCCATGCGCTTTCTCCTCTCCCCAGGCCTGGCTGTGATTTTCAAATACAGAGACTACGGCTCAGCCCAGGACAGTAGTGCATGCTGATACTCACACTAGGGAAGGTGGGAGGTAGGAGGGAAGGGTGCACAAGATAACCTTTGCTGCACAACCAGCTCTATGAGGGCTACGTGAGGCGCTGCCTCAAAACAAAGGCGGAGCCAGCGAGATCTCAAGTGGTCAAGGCACCTGCCAGCCGCAACAACCCGAGTTCAGGCCCGAGGACCCATGGGAGAAGCAGAGAACAGACTCCCGCAGGCTGCCCTCTGACCTCTCCATCTGTGGAACAGGCACGTGTGCGCACACATAAATAAATGTGATAAAGTATTTTTAAAAGGGTGACTCATTAACCTCAAAACAAAGACAACTATAATTTCAGTCAAAGCTCTTGCCCAGCTGAGGGCTGGGGTTTCAGCCTAATCGGCCTTGTTCTCAAGCCACAAGCCCACGGGGCCTGGCCGTATCTACCTCCAACAGCAAAGGAACACTGGTCCAAATGTCTCAGCACCCCGTGCGGCAGGCATCAGATACAAGATAAGTGCCGTAAGGAAGAGCCTCTGTGAACACCTGGTGACAGCTAAGGGAACCGAGGCTCTGACCTAGTAATTGACCATACCTGGCTAGGCAAAAGACAGCAGTGAGTATGAAACCCACGCTATCAGCCTGGGTCTGCTGTACCCACCAAAAGTGGCCTGATCAGCCTAACTCCCTCGCAGAGAAGGGAGCCTGCAGTGAGGCTGGGGCAAAGCTCCCGGGAAGGCCAGCTAACCTCCCCTCTTCTACATCCCAGAGGCAGAACCCTGAATAAACAGGGCAGTCGCCCAAGTGGCTGGGTGCCCTCCCTCCTTGAGAAGTCTACTGTGCCCTCGCTCCCGTCGCCGCCACCTCCCTGGCAGCCACCCCAGATGAGCCTCTCTGCTGAGCCTCAGTTAATAGCAGATAACCAGGCTGCCTCGCCAGCCTTGCCAGCAGCTCCCTGCCCCAGGCCGCAGCAGAGCCTCCTGGGTGTTAAAAAGCCGCCGGCGGGCGGGTCCCGGGCTCATCTGGTGCTGTCACCCCGGCACTCACCGTGGGTTCCCTATCCGCCTCGCAGGTACACAGCCGCCCCCCACCCGCTGCTGTCATTTGACCCTCACTTTATCCACGATGGGACGTCCAGCGGTGACTCCTCTTCCGGCGGCCTGACCAGCCAGGAGAGCACCATGGAGCGCCCCAAACCAGGTAAGACGCTCCGGGCCCCAAGGCTACTTCTCGCTGGTGCTGTCCCACGTGGACCCCCCCTTCCTGGCTGGCTTCGGATAACATAGACCATAAAATCACGCAGTGTCTACTTTGCTCATGTGCTTCTGTATTCCGTGGCCCGGTGTCATGCCGGCGCCAGGCAGCCACGTGACTGAGCGCAGTGTGGGATTTCTGTGTTTAGTATTCCGTTGTCTGAGTACGCCCCATTCCAGGGCTAGACGGATCCCGAGGGGACCCATGTGAGGCCGCTTGGAACCGTCCTCGTCTGTCTCTCCACGAGCATGTGTTCCCAGGTATAAAGCAGCTGGACTGGGCATTTGGCTTTACAAGAAGCCACCAAACTACACCCCATAGTGCTGAAGCATCTCCACGCCACCAGTGACGTGGAAGTGCTCTGTGGCTGTGTGTCCTTAGAACCTTTTTGTTTGGGCTCGGGAGTGGCCCAACTGTGCTATCCTGACGTGGTTTCCTTTGCATCTTTCTTTTAATGCAGTTCTGCCGAACATACGTATTCATTCATTTATTTAGAAAGGGGAGTCTTGCTATGTAGCCCAGGCTGGCCTCACATTCACTGTGTAGCCGAGGACAGCTAGGATTGCTAATTCTCCTTGTCTGTACCTCATAAATGCTGGGATTACAGGCATATGTGACCACACCCTCAGGTTTCATTTCCATTTTTCTCACTGATGGGATTGAGCATTTTGCACACAGACAGAGAGGGAGAGAGAGAGAGACAGAGAGAGAGAGAGAGAGAGAGAGAGAGAGAGAGAGAGAGAGAGGAAGAATGATGAAGTGTGTTCCTGAACCATTTGGATGGATGCTTTAAACATAACCTCTTTTAACAACCTCATGACCCCTTTGAAGATTAAGGACCTTTGCCCAATAGTCAGGTGGGTTCCCAAGGAAGATGGCTAATGAAGTGTTAGGAAGGAGAGGTGGAGAGGCAGACGTCCTCCTGGAAAGTGCCAAGGATTCCCAGGGAAAGGTGACCTCAGCCGTGTGCCCAGGATTAGCAGCAGGAGGGCTGTCATGCGTAGGTGGGTCAGCCCCAGGCAGGGGGGTGGCTTGACCTTGCTGTTCTCCCTCTGCTGCCTTGAGGGCACATGACATCATTTGTCCCTTCTCAGTGGGCTGCTCTTGGATCTGTGATCTGTTTCCCAGACAGATTTGTGTCTTTTTTTATCTTCCCACTCCGTTCAGAAAAGGAGAGGAATGGTGCCCGGCTCTTTCATCACAGCAAAGTGAAAAACGGGGAGGCTTTTCCAGCATCAGCGGAGGGCCCCCAGATTTGGGGGGACACAAAGGCTCTGCTGTTCTCCTTCTGCCCCCTCTTCCTTCCCAGGAACCTTAGACGAAGGTGGCCAGCACTTTCCCTGACGTGCAGGCGCGTGCACACACATGTACACCAGGAACGGGTGTGCTGAGAAACCACTAAGCTTAGAACATGTGGAAGACCCAGAGAAAGGGCAGTTCAAGAAGAGTGGCACAACAAGGGCTGGCAGTGGTGGCACACAGGGCTTCGCCCAGGCTCCATGCAGTGAGCACTCATGATGTCTGGTTTTGTGTAATCGCCAAAATATGCCCAGTGTTGTGCTAGGGGCCCCAGGTTCCTTCCCGCTGAGTCACAGCAGCGGCGCCATGACTGCCCCGGCACAGAAATGAGGCGGCTGAGCTGTGGAAGGGTTGTGGCATAATTGGGCCTTGAACTGAAACCTGTCAGGTCACCCCGCCATCCACAGGGTGTGAATACAGCCACTTGTATCCTGAGCACCCAGCTCCCTCAGCAGGAACTTGGGTCCCTCTGAGCTTCAGCTCTGGGCTTTAAGCTCATACTCCCATGGGCCTGGCAGCAAGACATGACCTCTGCAGTGACCCCAGAGTCCTAAGTGTCTCCCCTCCAAGGAAGGTTGAAGGTCTAGTGAGTCAGGCCAACCCGGCCACAGGACTGCCTGTCCCTAGGATACCTTCTAAGCCCTTGCGTTACTGCCAGTTGTTGCTGGCAGGCTGGGAACCCCAGGAAGGGGGGGGTGTTAGGCAGCGTAAACTCTGATCTCCACGTCCTGCCTATCCATCTCCGACAGCCTCGAGCCAGTTAATCTCTCTGAGCTTTGATGGCATTGTTCTACTCAAGATGGTCCCAATACCTGCTTGAGCAGCACTGGGCAGCCCAGCAAGCTGACATGTACAGCCAGGCATGGTGGTGCCCGTCTGCTGTGCCAGCACTGGGGGACGTCAGTAAGAGGGTCAAAATGAGCACCAGGCCGGCCAGGGCTCTACAGTGAGGCATTGTCTCAAAAATAAAAATAAAGGGCTGGCAAGATGGCCCTTGCCACCAGGCCTGACAAACTGAATCCAGTCCCCAGAAACATGTGCATACACACAAATAAATAATAAAAATTTTAATACATAAATACAGGGCCAGGGAGTAGACTCCATAAATCAGTTGCCACACAAGCCTGTGACCTCCGTTAGAGCCCTAGAATGCACACGAAAGGCCAGATGTGGTGTCATCTGTAATCCAGATGTGGTGGCATGCACTTGTAATCCAGATGTGGTGTGCCTCTGTAATCCAGATGTGGTGGCGAACATCTGTAATCCAGGTGTGGTGGTGTGCACTTGTAACCCCAGCATTCCTGCAGCGAGGTAGGAGACAGCAACAGGGAAGTCACCTGTCATCTCCGACCAGCCAGCTTGGAGTGGAGCAGCAGAAAGAGCAAGGGGCAGATGGAACTCTGAGTTCCAGGACAGACAGTGCTACACAGAGAAAAACCCTGCCTCAAAAAAACCGCATCAGTAAAGTGAAGGAGAGAACCAAACTCCAGCTGTCCTTGACCTCCACACATGTGCCATGGATGGCACTCAAGCACCCACACTCACACAGAGAGAGATAAAATAAATAAGTAAACTGTAAAGGCCTTTCAGTCCACCGGTAAGATTAAAGACTCCTAGAGCAACAGGAAGGGTGCTTTACAGAGATGCTGCAGTACACGGCAGCTGTGCTCAGCCTCCCGGGGGCAGGGGATGACGGAAGGCGTGTGCTTCCCTGTGTTGACCACATCAAGCTCGCTAGATGTCCCCCTGCTACCGAGTGCTGGTGTAGCCCCAAGGCATTCTGTGGTCCGGCCTGAGAGCAGGCAGGTTAGCCAGAGACTGGGACTGCGCAGCCATCACGTAGAGTAGGTTATCGGGTCCTGGCCTGCATCACCGCTAACCAGTGTCTCCTCTCCCTGCAGAGCCTCTGTGGCACGTGCCAGCCCAGGCCCGGCTCTCAGCCATGGCTGGAAGCAGTGGCAGCAAGTACCCCTCCAGGCAGGATGCAGTTGGCAAAGACTCTCCCAACAGACATTCCAAAGTGAGTTGGTGCCCCACCCTGCCCATCCCTGCGCTACCTCATCCAGGGAGTGAGGCCTACATCTGCTGGCCGCTGGCTTTCCTGGGCACATGGCTGCTGAGGGCTAGGCGGCTTCCGCTGGGTGTGGCCTCTGGGGACCTCATCCTCAGCCATAACCGTGGTCCCCTCTGCAAGTGGCTAAATAGCATCCTGGCTCCAGCCCTCAGCAGGGTAACCTTTGACAACTCCCTTTCATCCTCTCTGCAGCCCCTGCCAGTCTCCCCGGAAGGATGCAGTGCAGGTCTGCAGTTCACAGTGGGGCAGAGTGAGTCAGAGACTCAGGCTCCCTTCTGTCACTTGTTGCCCTGTAGGCCCCCAAGCCCTCTTCCGGCTCCCTCGTCGGGACCTACATTATTGCAGTGTAGGGTAGCGGGGAGAGAGGTTCGAGGGGAAGATTCATCATCAAAGGAAGCCAGGGCAAGACTTAAACGGGCAGGAACCTGGAGGCGGGAGCTAACACAGAGGCCACAGAGGGGTGCTGCTTCCTGGCTTGCTCCTCAAGGCTTGCTCAGCCTGCTTTCTAATAGAACCCAGGACCACCAGCCCAGGGATGGCCCCACCCATAATGGCAGGGGCCCTCCCCCATCAATCACTGATTAAGAACACAGGCTTGCCTACAGCCTGATCTTACGGAGGGAGACATTTTCTTAATTGAGGCTCCCCCTCTCTAATAACAGCTTCTGTCATGTTGACGTAAAGCTAGCCAGCACAGGAAGTGACTGAATGAAGCTAGGACAGAGCCATAAAAAGAGCCGAGAGAAAAATGTCACAGACGGGGGAAGCAGCAAGTGCGAAGGCCCTGGGGCTTGTTCCTGGTGTGTTCAGAGAACAGCGAGGAGACTCGAGGGGCTGGAGCAACGACCCAGAGAGACAGGGAGCCGATGTCAGACGGCAGGAGTCAGACCACCAAGGGCTTGTGAACTGTGCCCTCAGACTGCCACAGGATTGTTTCATGCGGGGAGGGAGGGAGAGCCACGATTCCATACAGATGTTCACAGCTGTCCCCTGGCACATGCTGGGAACGTGTTAGACAGGGGGACGGAGAAGGCGGCACGGCCATGGCCCCGTGGGATGCAGTGGCAGACAGGACCCAGGGAGAATGGAGGAGGGTGTCAGCCTGCATGTGTCTGGAAGCAGCAGGTTTGCAGGGCAGCCGCTAAGGTGGACGTTCCATTGCGAAGGAAGGAGGGAGCTGGGGTTAGGGGCCCCCAGACCTCAACTTAAGAGACATTTAGTTTGCTTGATATGTCGATCCGAGCACCAAGTGCGGCTTTTAATCACACACCTATTTTACAGATGTGTAAACTGAGACAGGAAGAAAGTAAATCGCTTGTGCAGGGTAACTGTACCAGTAAGGGAGGAGCCATGTCTGGGCATGTGTGGCTCCAGGGTGCCCGTGTGGGCGGAGGCTCGCATCCCTAGAGTGGGGATGACAGGCCTGCCTTGCCTTCCAGGGTGAACCTCAGTACTCAAGCCATTCCAGTAGCAATACCCTCTCCAGCAATGCCTCCAGCAGCCATAGCGATGAGCGATGGTTTGACCCCCTGGACTCCCTGGAGCCTGAGCAGGACCCCTTCTCCAAGGGCGGCTCGAGTGACAGTGGCATCGACACCACACTCTACACCTCCAGCCCCAGTTGTATGTCCCTGGCCAAAGCGCCGCGGCCCACCAAGCCGCACAAGCCCCCTGGAAGCATAGGCCTCTGCGGCGGGGGCCGAGAGCCGGCTGGGAGACCTCACCCTGCAGAGCGAAGACGGGAAGTGTCCCCCGCACCTGTGATGGCTGGCCAGAACAAGGGCTACCGGCCAAAGCTGTACTCCTCAGGCGCCAGCACCCCTCCAGGCCTAGTGGGCGGCAGCCGAGACCCACCGAGGCAACCAAGGTGAGAGCCCGCACCAGCTACCCACCTCTCGCCCCCACAGCCCTAACATGAGACCTTCCTCCGGAACAGGCTTGCAGAGTTGGGTTGGAGGGCACGCTGCATACCCGCCAGCCCCCAAAACTCCAGACAGAGGGAGAGAAGCGCTGACGGTCTGTCCTCATCTGTCTCTGGTTCTCTCTGACCCTCTGCCCTTTCCTCTCTCCGCTATGACCAGTGCTTTTTAACTGTGAGTTTCAGATCTTATCCCACGGTGTTTGTGGGCTTAACAACCTCCTGACAAACCCTGGAAAGGGGAGAGTAACCTGGTAGGCCCTGAGGGCTGGGCTCTGCCACCTTGTCCCACCGCGCTGACCATGCTGGCTGGCTCTCCAGTCTCAGGGTAAGGGCAGAGAACAAAGCAGAGTTGCAGCATCTCTGCTGTCCCCCTCTGTAGAGAGAGCAAATGCTTCCCCAGAGCCACCCCCAGCCGCTGCTCTCATGTGACTGTCCAGCTGCAGCCGAGGTCTGCTCAGGCACAGTTTGGCCTTCCAACCTCTGGCTCTGAGCAGTAGCCCCAAACCCACTCCCGATCAACCTACCCTCAACCCTGAGTTCTTCCCTAATGGGTTGGGTGGGGTGCAAGAATGTGCCTTTTTTTTTTTTTTTTTTTTAAACTCTTAGCTGTGGATGGGTGTAGTCCCAGGACCATGCTCTGAGAGGCACAAGTAGGGAGACAACTGGGACAGGAGTGAGTGCCGCAGCCCGCAGTGTGAACCATACACTTGGTGCCCCTGGGGAAAGCAGTGAGCGGTGTGCCAGAGCGAGGAAGGCAGAGTGTCCGCTGGAGGCACCAGCTCGGGCCCATGAGGAGCCCCTCTGATGTGCTTGCTCGTAATCCCATGCCTGCCTGCCTGCCTGCCTTCCTTCTCTCTCTCTCTCTCTCTCTCTCTCACTATATATATATATATATATATATTCATTCATTCATTCATTCATTTATTTATTTATTTTGAGGCAGGGTCTCACCGTGTAGCCCTGACTGGCCTGGGACTCTCCATGTAGATTTTGAACTCCACCCGCCTCTGCCTTGGGAGTGCCGGGATTAAAGCTGGGTGCCGCCATGTCTGCCTTCTTTCTTTCCCCCTTTTTCTTTCTCTTTTCTTTCTTTTTTTTTTAAATGTGCCCTGGTGTTTTGCCTGTGTGTTTGTCTGTGCACCACACACGTGCCTGGTGCCTAAGGGTGCCAGAAGAGGGCATCAGATCCCTTGGAACTAGAGTTACAGATGGTTGTGAGCCACAGTGTGGTTCCTGGAACTGAACGTGCGTCCTCTGGAAGAGCGGTCAGTGTCCTTCTCCGCCGAGCTGTGTCTCCAGCTCCTCGCTGTCCGTGGCTGCAGGCTCAGGGCTCATTAGCAGCATACATCCTTGCTGGAGGATTTCATGGTCCCCCCAAGGGTCTCTCACAGATTTGAAAGCTATCATGGTTGGGTGGGGATGGAGCACAGTAGTACAGGATTCGCCTAGTATTTGTGAGGCCCTGAGTTCAAATCCTAGAACCGAAAAAAGAATTAGGAAAGAGAGAAAAGAAAGCCAGCAAGTTGGGAGTACCCGAGTCCTCAGCTTCCCTGAGCTGAGGCACCCAGGAGCGCTGCCATGAAAAAGAAAAAGCCAGAGTGAGAGTATTATCTTAGGCCACCTTCCTAGATAAGTAGTTCTCAACTTCTGACCTCACTGACTGCTTTACTTCATTCATTCATTCATTTATTCTTTCAACATATATTTCTTAGAGATCTATGCCGACCCAGGTAGCGCTGGCCTGGCCCTTCCAGCAGATGACAGACAGTCCAGGCATAACAGAGTAGAACTGTGCCTGCTGAGCAGTGCAGGCATGTGGAGGCAAGAGAACACAGAAGGGCGCTTCCAGCCAGTTGTGGTCCCTGTTCTTGGCACATTGGTGGGCGCTGGCCCTGAGAGCACAGGCCTGTAATCTCTGCTACTTGAGAGACTGAGGCAGGGTGATCATAAGTTCAAAGCCAGCCCGGGCAGCCTAGTGAGACCCTGTCAGAACAAACACAGCCTCAACAAGTTAGACCCAGGCCGGAGGCGTGGCTGAGTGTTTGCCTTGCTCTTGAGCTGTCGTGGGTCAGCCCCTGGCGCTCAAAAGAAAATGTTTGTAGGGTTTTGAAATCCATGATAGAAATTCAGTAGTGATGCCAGGCGTGGATAGTGGGTGAGGCGGGGGGGAGTTAAATTACCCCGTATCTGAGAGACGTATTTGCCAAATCCAGAAGTGGGGGAGTTCGGGGAGCCCCCTGCACACACATGATGGGGAGCTCTAATTTGCATGTAGACAGTTGGCGCTAGTTGCAAATCATTCTTACCTACTCATTAAAGCTGCTTCCTGAAGTCTTCTCCTAGGCAACGGGTTTTAGTGTGGAACAGCATTTCCCAAAATGGGGTGCCTGAGGTGATCTGGGTGGTAAGAGGGGGAGATGTTGTCTCTTAAGTAGTTGTTTCCTTACGAGGCAGCAGCGCTTCCAGCCCACCCCAGTTTCACAGACACTGCCCTGGACCAGTTATGGGCAGTGAGATAAAGTGACTTGCTTGCTTTCTTCTCTTTTGGGGGTCCTGGGTAGTGGTGGTGGTGTGTCTGTGTTTGAGCCTGGACCTCGCTCTGTTACCCTGCCCGGCCTGGAACTCAACTGTGTAGAGCAGGCTGGGCTCAAGGTTCTGCTAACCTTCCTGCCTTTGCCCTGAGGTGCTGAGGCACCCGACCACACCCTATTAGAAATGAGATGATTTAAAGAAACATATTCAGCCAGGGGTAGTGATACACACCTGTCCTCCCAGCACAGAGAAGCCTGAGGCAGGAGGATCGTGAGGTTCAGGCCACCCTGGGCCACATGGCAAGGGCGGGTCTCTCCCTCACACACAAAGGTGGTATTCCTGTCCCACCCTCCCACTCTTCACATTCCTGTGGATACGTTCGTCTTCCCCTAGACAGCCGCTGGTCACCAGCTTGGGCCAGACCCGATCTCAGGAGACCCCAGACAGCTCTGCCAGCTGCCGACCACAGTGCCCGTGGCAGCAGACAGCGGTGCAGCCTTGTGTGTCAGCTGTTACCTGTTACGGGTCCGGTCCTTGGGAATAGCAGACAGCACGGGACTTGAGCCCAGCCCCCGAAGAACAGGTGGTGCTCTTGTCTGAACAGGCCTTGGCTGCATGTACACAGTACCCTCTAGCTCAGGACTTTCTGTTTATTCATGAACAGGTATGTGTGGGCCAGGTCCGGTGTGGGCCAGCACCCGGGAGACAACAGGCAAGTGGAAAAAAAATCATGGATGAACTGCGTGTGTAGGCAGCCTCAGAGGAGGCTGGCTAGATGTTTTCAGTCTGGGGTGCGGTGATGTGGGTGCCTTGTCATAATTTTGGGGGCAGAGTGAGGGTGGGGACAAGGGGTTACTGCTGGGACTCAAGCCTGTGGCTGTGGATGTTGACCAAACAAACCGAGCACTCTGGAGGATGAGGCGGAAGGCCTGTCACTTCCAGGCCAGCCAGGCTGTGCGAACTTGCCTCAGATTTACAGAGCAGAAGGGAGAGGTGTTTGTAAGGTTTCCCAGGAGAAGGAGTGGTAGGTACAAGGGGCTGGGGAAGAGGGTGGGGCTGGCGCGTCCCTGAGCACAGGCCTGGTGAGCCAAGGAGCCCATCGAGGCAGTCCATTACCGAGCACTGGTTTGATCCTGAGGCCAAGGACAGCCAGGAAAAGGTTTCAGCAGGAGGCGGGCCGATCTGGGCTGCTTCTAACCGAGTGTTTGTGTGTGCGCTTACACACACAGCATGTGCGCATGTGGGTATGAAAAGGTGGCTCGCTGAAGTCACTCCGCCTCCACCCTTACCTAGTTTACGGGAATCAAACTCAGGGCACCAGGCTTGCATGGCAAGCGCCTTTATCTGCTGACCCGGCTCCCAGATCTGGGCTCTGAAAAGGGGTGTTTGGGGAAAGACAGGAGGTAGGATGCCAGGGAAGATGAGGCTGACTTGGAGAGGGTGCAGGCCTGGAACGGATGTGCAGGGCCAAGCTCCTGCTAGTCGCTGTAAGCCACTGGCCATGCAGGCTGGAGGGCCATCTCCAGCCAGCCCAGCCCAGCCCAGCCCTCCTCGACATTGTTCTAGACACCTCTGTGCTCTAGGGAACAGGGTCCAGTCCTCCCTGACAGAGCTGACATTCTACTGCAGAGAGGAAACAGATGGACACACAGACAACAACCAAGTGATACACAGATGGCAGTCAAGGCTCAGGAGAGAACTGGAGAGGCAGGCAGTGTCTTGATTTGTCGTGCAAAACAAGAGCTCTGGCAGCCAGACAGCAAATGTCAGGACCTAACTGGCCTGTCTCACAGTACCCTGGGAATGTCAGGTGACCAGGAGGTTGGGGCAGATAGCCAAGGCAAGCATGGCAGGAGGTCAGATTAACACAGGGGTCAGGAGCCCTGCTCCAGCAGGTTCATTACTTTGATTAGCTGCTAGGATTTGATCCTAGTGGGCATGGGAGCCGTAGAAGGTAGCTGAGCCCAGAATTTGATATGTATGTATGTATGTATGTACATATGTATGAATGTATGTATGTACATACATATATATATATATTTAATATCACTGCGGCTGAAGGCCTGGACTCAGAGGCAAGAAGTTCGTGAGGCCAGCCTGGGCTAGACAAGGAGACTCGGTCTTTAATTTTAAAGCGGGGGAGGTATTCCAGTCTCCTCTGGGAGAAACAGGCTGGCTGTTTAAGGGAAGAGAGCATAGAGAACAGAATTTGAAAGCTGCCAGGAAGAGATGGGCCTAGCCACACCCAGAGAGGTCCCACCCACTTCCCCAGCCCAGCTCTTCCCTCAGAGCCCACACAGCCTGTAGCTGCTTGTGCAGGTCCATGACTTCAGCAGCCTCACAGATAGTGCCCCGCCCCACCCCAGACATTCGTCATGGGAGCCCAACTGCCAAGCCCCCTGCCAGGTGCTGGCGCCTGTCACGGGCACCTGCATGGCCCAGCAAGCCCAGACGTATAACTACCTGGCCCCTAAGCAGTGCACATGCCAAAGTCTTTCTGTTTCCAGAGCAATTTGTCAGTCAGAGCTAGGGGATCAGAGGCTCCGCTCCACGCGGAGCTGACGCAGCCGGGCGTTCCCGGCAGGAAGCACGTGGCTCTGCCTCCCTGGCTGGCAGTCTCCGGATCTGTCTGGGGTCCGTCTCGGGCAAAGGTAAAGGGGTCTGCTGGGCCCCTGCTGCTTGTGTCAGGAGACGGGGGCCACGCGTGACAGATCTGCTCGGGGAGTCACTGTCAGTGAGTGGGTGGGGGATCCCAGGCTGTTTTCCCAGAACTCACGGGGCTGAGGGAGTGCCCGACAGATCTGGGGCAGAGGGGCAGCGAAAAGGCCTCCGGGCAGAAGCACCCCTGGGTGTTTGAGGAATGGCATTGTGTGGCTGCTACAGAAGAAACGGGCCAGTGGAGAAACTGAGGACGCAGGAAGGAGACAGCAGACGGGGGTTGCACGTTCCCATGGGGTCCCTGTGGCTGTGGGGAGGACACGCTAGGCAGGTAACCTGAGGTCAGCGCTGATGACCGACGACACTTGGAGGTGGTAAGCACAGGCGAGCAGAGGATCCAGATACAGTCCTCCAGACTCCAGGTCCTTCCTGTTGCCCAGAGAGAGGCTGCAGGGTGGGTGGGACCACTGCTGAGATCCTGCCACAGAATCCAGAATCAAATTATTTTGGAGCCTCAGGTGTGGCTGACATAGGGCAGGGGGGTGGGGCCCGGCGAGAGGAATTCAGCAGGTAATCAGGCGGGAGCACTGTCCCCCTGCGCTACGTAGGCATGGTGTCCCTGCCTGGCTGCCTTATGCATGCTGTGTGTCAGGCCTTGTTCTCTGAGGCCCGACCTCCTGTCTGTCAGATGGAGTAACAGCGGGTGCCCAGGCTGGACGTGGAAGCACACATTTGGAATCCTGGTACTCACAAGGCAGAACAAGAGGATCAGGCAGTCAGGGTCATCCTTAGCTACACAGCAAATTGGAGGCTAGCCTGGAATACATGAGAGCCTATCTCTTAGAAAGAGAGAGAGAGAGAGAGAGAGAGAGAGAGAGAGAGAGAGAGAGAGAAAGAAAGAAAGAAAGAAAGAGAAAGAAAAGAAAAGAGGAAAAAATTTAATGGGTTTTTTGGTTTGGTTTGGTTTTTAGTTTTGGGGGTTTTGGTTTTTGTTTTTCAAGACAGGGTTTCTTTGTGTAGCCTTGGTGGTCCTGGACTCACTTTGCAAACCAGGCTGGCCTTGAACTCACAGAGGTTCCACCTGCCTCTGCCTCCCGAGTGCTAGGATCACAGGCGTACACCACCACACCTGGCCTGTCTCTAAAAATTTGATGATAACAGTAACAGAGCCCGCATCCAAGGTCACGTGGACAAAGTGAGGCCAAGAGTGCAAAGTACTTAGGACGAGGCCCATGTGCAGCTGGGTTCAGAAATAGCAGCTGCTGCCATGCTTTACGTCTGTTTATTATGCCTTCATCCTGACGTTGTTCAGGAGAGGACAGAGGGTGGCGTGAGGGTGGCGTGCCGCCCCCGTCCCATACATCACCGTGGCCTCTCCAGCCGCGGCACCTGCTGCAGCAGGAAGTGGAGGGTGCTGTATGAGGTGATGTGTGGGAAACGTTTACAACAGGCCTAACTGTATTCAAGAGCTTTGCAGTTGGCGGCGTCACTGTCACCCAGGCCCCCCAAAGGTGGGGCTGCGGCCTTCTTTGTACCGTCATCCATCCAGGACCACCTTCCAGCCCCTTCAAAGCCTGGACGGAGCAGCCACGTCTCACAGGCTCACAGAGCCAAAGGGCTGTGCCCACCCCGCCTTCAGCTAAAGCCAGGGGCAGCGGAGTCAGGTGCCCTCCCCAGCCCCCTGCCCAGCTTAGCCCCTGGACCGGCCACCCCCATACACTGGCAGCTCAGGAGTCACCATTAGGACAAAACCACTGTGTGCGTGGGGTGCAGGCTTGCAGCCTTGCCTGTCGGAAGCAACGTCCAGCCCTTCATCCATGGGCCTCATGTCTCCATAGACACTACCCCGTGTTGAAGGAAGGTCTGCAGTGACCGCCTCTGCAGCTGAGGCCCCGTGTGGCCGCTCCCTTTTACGTGGAAGCCCCTGTAAGGTGTAATCTCCCTTTCCTCCCGCCCCCATACATTCCCATCAGCCCCACCCACATGCTCTAGTTTTCTTCTAATGAGTCCCATCCAGTTCACTGGAACGCTTTGAAAGTGTATTCCACGTAATGGGCGGGCATCTGGAACTGAGTTCAACAAAACATTCGTCCTCTATAGTTTAGCTGTCGTTTTGTTTTGCTTTGGGTTGGTTTGGTTGGTTTTGTTTTGATACAGGATCTGATGTAGTTGAGGCTAGCCGAAACCTTAGGCATTGGCCTGAGGTGATCTGGAACTCCCATCCTTGGCTCTGGGAGTGCAGGCTGAGACACCACACCTAACCAGGACTAACCTTTAGAACCTTAAACTTTAAAAACAAACATTAAGGATTTGCGTTTAAGTATGTGTCTCTGCATGTCAGCACTGCAGCCGACTGCAGGTTCTCATGGCGGCCACAGCCACAGGACCGCTTTGGAGCTGGAGTTACAGGCGAGGTCCACGGGAGGAGCAGAAAGCACGCATAACTTCTCTTGGCTCCTAACTTAAAAAAAAAAAAAAAAAAAGTTTAATTTTCAGGTAGGCACGGCGTTAGGTACAATCCTTATTATAATCCCTGTAATCCCTTGAGAAGTTGAGGCAAGATTTTGCTCCGAGTTTCAGGCCAGCCTAGGAGCTGGTGTGAAACCTTGTCTCAAAAAACAAACCACAAGAAGAAACACCCAGAGTTTGGTTACAGTTGATAACAACCTTTGTGGCAGGGGTTTGGAGCAGGTGTCCGCCACTGCCGCCTCCACACCCTCCCAGCGCTTTGTGGGCTCTGTGGATCCATGCCCTGCTCCTCACTCTGGCGCATCGAGAGCCGTGCTCCAGCCCCTTCCCCTTTTCTAAGCAGCCCCTCGGAGAGACCAAGGTGGCCTTGGAACTCCTGATGCCGGGGTCCCAAGCGTGCCCCAATGTTGCTGGAATTTGCTGCAGCAGCCACAGGTTTGCATCTCTCTCCGGTGACTTGCTTCTTTGTCTTTGCTTTCGCAGTGACATGGCCTCGAGGGCTGGCTACCCGGCTCAGGTTTACAAAGCAGCCAGCGCAGAGGCTCCTCGGCCCCCCCAGCTGTCTCAGTGCAGCCCCTTCCAGCTCTCCACATCCGTCCCCAAGTCCTTCTTCCCCAAGCAGCCTGCACACGGCAAGCATCCAACGGGATGGAAGAGAACAGACGAGCCCCCACCACGGCCACTCCCCTTTACAGACACTAAGAAGTAAGTGCCACAGAGAGACCCCCGGGCTTCCAGGGACCAGAAGACAGTGACTCACTGTGCCACCCCACACCCTGCGTTTAGAGCCGTGCACAAGACAAGTGACAAAAACCCCTGCTCCTAGGGAATGGCTTTCATGGAATGACAGGCACTAAATGCAGTAAGGGTGAAGCTGTGGTTGAGTATGGCGGCGTGCAGCTATGATCTCAGCCCTGGGTGGGCACGCCGGGAGGCTAGGTGGCTTTCAGGGCTTGAGCTCAGGGTTCCAGGGTCACATAGCTGGCATGACCAGCACTTTGTACCCACTGTTTGCTTGCTTTCTAATCTCTTCATTTATTTGTCTGTGGGTTTATGTGCACACATGTGTGAAAGCCAGAAAAATGCATCCGGCACCCTGCTCCGTTGCTCTCTGCCTATTGCTTTGAGGCAGGCTCTCTTCCTGGACATTGGTCTCCCATTTTCTCTGTTAGACTAGAGTCCGGCAAGACCCTGGGATCCTCCTCAGAGCCAGGGTTGCAGGAATGGGCAGAAGCCTGGCTTGTTATGTAGGTGCCAGGATCTGAGCTGTGCTCCTCATACCTGTGCAGCAAGCGCTGTTAACTGCTGAGCCATCTCTGCCGCTCCACAGAGACTGAAGGAGAGAGGAAGCGGGATGTGCAGTTAAGAAAGGGCTTTGGTACTAGGGTATAGCTCAGCAGATCACCTGCCCAGAATCCCCCAGTGAGGGGCTGGGGTGTGGCTCAGTGGTAGAGCCCCTGCCCAGAATCCCCCAGTGAGGGGCTGGGGTGTGGCTCAGTGGTAGAGCACCTGCCTAGAATCCCCCAGTGAGGGGCTGGGGTGTGGCTCAGCAGATCTCCTGCCCAGAATCCCCCAGTGAGGGGCTGGGGTGTGGCTCGGCGGTAGAGCACTTGCCTAGGATGCCCCAGTGAGGGGCTGGGGTGTGGCTCAGGGGTAGAGCCCCTGCCTGGAATCCCCCAGTGAGGGGCTGGGGATTGACTCAGTTAAAAATATGACTCAATGATATTATTACCTAGTATCCATAAGTTATTGTTAATCTCCTGCAAAGAACTTTTAGTTTTTTTGTTGTTTGGGTGTTTGTTTGTTTGTTTGTTTGTTTGTTTGTTTCAAAGCAGGGTTTCTCTCTGTAGCCCTGGCTGTCCTGGACTCGCTTTGTAGAGCAGGCTGGCCTCGAACTCAAAGAGATTGGCCTGCCTCTGCCTCCCCAAGTGCTGGGATTATAGGCATGTGCCACCTTGCCCACATGAGCTTTTACGCTTCAACTGGAGAACGAGACAACCAGTATTTATTGTGTACTTTCCAGATGCTAGGCTCAGTTCTGAGTTCTCTTTCACATATCGGGGTTACTGATGGCTTAATTTAGCCAGGTATGAGGAGAGGCTAGTCAGAAGACACCTTCCCGGGGTAGTTATCTCCTTCCTCCCTGTGGCTCCCAGGGATCAAACTTAGATCCTCCATTTTGGCAGCAAGCGCCTTTCCTGTCTCTTCTGCCTTCTCTAAGTGCATTCATTTATCAAAGGCTCACAATTCCAGGAGGACTCGGCATCCTTCCCATTTACAGATAGGGCACCGAGCTCAGGGCTCCGTGCAGTAAAGACAGCCCTTGGATCCGAGCCCACACAGTCAAGTCCAAACTCCTACTCTTTTGGATGAGGAGTTTCTGCACTTCTCCGTGTGTTCTCAACAGCTCTTCCCTGACCTGGATGGGGCTGTTTAAATTTGTGGGTGACATAGAGCTTGCGGGGGGAGAGGCACCAGGAGACAGAGCCAGGTCCCTGGAGATGTCAGCAGGCTCTGAGAATCCAGTTCACATGTTCACTGACAGCCAGAGGGGACTCTAAAAACTAGACTCTGGTCATTTGCTCTCCTTCTTACGGTCTCCAAGGGCCCCGGCCACCCTCGGTTAGTGTTGGAGGCTCAGGACCTCTGGGTAAGATCTGTACTAGTGTACCGAGTTCCCCTCACAGACTCCTGCCCAGTTCCTGCCCGATCCGTGCCGGCCCTCCATCCTGCACTCTGCTCCAGCCACACTGACCTGAGCATGCCAGCCCCTCGGCAGGAGCTTTGCGCCGGCCTGGCAGTCTCCTCCCAGACGGTGGCAGGCTAACCTCCCAACACAGGCCTTTCCAGCCGGGATGGGTGAGTCTTCGTGTCCGTGTGTCTCTTCTCCCACCTCACATTCCTCCCACCGGAAGGCAGGTGCCACTGTCTCGGTCATGGGACACTTGTGACCTGCCCGGCACACGCTGGGGTGGCTTGGTCAGTAAACGTACTGGCCATGGATCTCATTTGATTCTCCAATCCCAAAAAGCAAGAGGCGCCCGCATCTCGGTGCAGCCAGAGGCCCAACCCTGTAGACCCCATGCGCTGCTGTGTGTCCTGTAGCTCCTTTGGTGCCTTTCTCTCCCGACTCCTCATGTGTCCCGCCCCTCTGCCTCACCTGCTGCTGTGTGGATCCTCGGGCCCGTCGAAGGGAGGGATGCAGACGACGCACACTGCAGAAACGATGGTCTCACGGTTCTGGAGGGCTCTCCCATGCTGGCTGTAGGGGAAACACGTCTGCTTCATGGGCCTCTCTGGTGTCATCTGCTTTGCTGCCTTACGCTAGCCTTCCCCAGCAGGAGGAGCTGCTTCACTTCCCAGAAGGACCTTTCCCTCTGGGGGGGCTGTGGCGCTTTCTCAGGTCCTATCAGATTAGGGCCCACCCTGGTGGCTTCATTTCAGCCTGATGGCCTCCCCAAAGTGAGGTCACATTATTTTGTGGTTTCTTGTTTTTGTTTTTCAGATTGAACCCAGTACCTTGCACATGCTAGACAAGCTTTCTACCCGTAATCTGGATCACACACACACACACACACACACAAACACACGCACACACACGCACACGCACACGCACACACACACTTTTTTCCCCACCTGATGCTGGCAGTGGAATCCAGGACCTAGTAAACAGCAGGCAACTCTTTTGTTCTCTGAGCTATATCCCCAGCCCTTGGTTTTTTAAGACAGAAACTTGGCCTACCTCTGGCTTAGGGTTGTAGATGTGTGCCACCATGTCTGGCTATATATTTGTTAAAATCACAAATGTAAAAGACTAACTGAATGCTTTACTTTTTAGGCTTTACCTATGTTTCTTTTCTGTGTTTTGCCTGGACTATGGTATGTGCGCCATGTTCGTGCCTGGTGCCCATATAAGCCAGAAGAGGGCATTGGATCCCCATACTGGAGTTACAGGCAGCTGTGAGCCACCACGCGGGTGCTGGGAACTGAACCTGGTCCTCTGCAAGAGCAGAAACCATCGTTGACCACTGAGCCACCTCTCCAGGCCTGACTTGTTGCTTATGGAATTGCCTGGCAGGAGGTGATTATTTTATTTTCTAGAGATTACACCAGGGCCTTGTGCCTCCTAAGCAATGTCTTCTCCGCTGAGTCACATCCCAGCCACGGAGCTTTTTACTCAAACCCTTTCGAACACCTCAAGATCGTGGCCTTGCCACTTCCACACTCTTGAGTCATCACACCCAGCTTTTCAGAAAACACTGTTTTTGACTCCTGGCTAAACTCCCTGAGCTCAGACACCCACCACTGAAATCCGACACTGTTGCTGGGGGTCAGGCTTGGTGGTAGAAGTCTTGCCTGCGCAAGGTTTCCAAACCTAGGGGGTCACCAGGTATGGCGGCACAGAACCCAGAAGGGAGAAGTCTGTGTTCCAGACCGGAGGGCCTGTCACAGCCGTGGATTTTCCTTCCCCAAGGCCACCAGAGCACTTAGCACGCCTGCTCGCTGTCTCCGCCTCCTTTTCATAGACCCCAGCTATGGGTGGCGAACAGTCCGAGCAGGCCTTGTCTAAAGCTTGATGTCCCCAGGACCACACTGCAGCCAGCACAGGGGACGGGTCAGCCAGGGTTGCTGCCTAGCCCTGTACCCTCCTGGGGACCCCACAAGAGGGGCCGTGTTCTTGCCCCGTTTCCCAGAGGCACCATTAGTACCTCCCCCAAGGTCTCCCAGTAGACAAGGCACAGCAAATTCAGGACCCAAACCAAGGCTGTCTTGTCTCTCAGACCCAGGCACGGGGACCAGATACAAGATGGCATACTCCTCTTCTGGGAGAGACTTCTTGGGGGAAAAGGATGTCCTGTGTTCATGCACACGCTGTGTGCTGATGAAAAACGGTCTGAGCTGGGAAAGGGCAGGCCATGAGCTGCTGGAACCGAGCACCTGCCACAACAGGGCCATCAGGTCAGCCCTGGCCAACAGCTCTGCCTCAGAGGTGGCCAGGCAGCCTCTCTTGCTTGCTCTCCAGTGAGTGGCCTGCCTTCACTCCACCACCAGAGGGATGGCTAGACATGGGGTCTGCCAGTGGCCGAATCTTAGGATCCATCTCTTTAAACTGTGGTGCAGGGAGGCTGTGGGGACTCAGGGTCATCCAAAGTCTACAAGCACAGGACTGGCTGGTGAAGGGCATGGCAGCCTGGGAGGCCACACTGTGGCAGAGGCGCAGGAGGCCCCCAGAGTAGCTTTTACTGACACCACAGGGCCTGCAGCATAGTTGAGGGGCATTCAGGAAGACAGGCCCCAGTCACAGCTGAGGATCCGGGCATGAACGCCCACGTCCAGGAAGATGGACTCACTCACACAGTGCCATGGAGCGAGGAGCAGCCCAGAACCTGGGAGAGCGAGCAGTCCTCAGGAAGCGACAGGTCAATCATACCTGCTACCCGAAGCTGCAGTGACAGTAATCCCAGGGTTCAGAATAGTTCATGGCCAAGCTCCTAGAATGTCAGTGCCCTCGCCAGGGATGTGAAGCTGGTGCTGGAGCCCATTCCTCATGGCTGCCTGAGCAATGCACACAGTTGCACACACACGCCACTCAGCACGGCCCCGGCCTGCATGCTGAGCGCTGCTTGTCTCACGAGCAAGTCACTATTGGTTCAGAAGAGCTGAAGGACATGGCTAGCCTCAGTTTCCCCAGCTACGATGCTGAA